CTTTTGTTCTTTGTTGGAAGTATTATGCGTTTTTCAAAGGTTTTAGAGGACAAATTTTGTGCCAAAAACTAGATGAAAATCAAAGCAGTGGAATCCTTTCTCAACTTTTGATGGTTAATGCTCGATGGGAAAGAGTAAGAGAAAATGCTATGGCTCGTCAGAATCTTCTTCAACAACGTCTAAATTTTTTGCAGACTCAGCAGCTTGAAGAGATCAGGTTTGGTTTTTTTTTTGATAAATTTCAAATTGATCAGATTGTTAGGATTAAAATGTTTAGAAATGTAAAAGTAACCTAATTGGCATAAACCAGAAGACTAGATTTTTTTTAGTGCGCTCTAGGTGGAAATCTGAATGCTTTATCTTTTTTGGAAATATATTTGTTTTTAAGGCAGTGGCTAAATGGTATGGAAGAAGAAATGGAAAAGGCTGAACCCTTGACACCTGATGTTGCAGCCACTGAGAACCTAATTCGAGCTCACGCTGTCGTGCAAGAGAAAATTGAAAAAGAACAGGAGGTATTAGATTATCATATTCATCGCCATACTTATGCATGGTTTTCAGTCATTTTTATGCATTTTTTTTGTTTTTTAAGGCTGTTAAAAAACTCTCCAATTTTGTCGCGGTGGTGGATGAAGAGGATTCAGATGTGTCGTACGAGGATTTGGAAAAACTGTTGCACTCTGTTGGCGAAAGGTTCTTGTTGTTGTTTTAGGCGGATTTGAAAGTAAATAGTGGTTCTGATTACTGTGCAGTTTAGCAATAGAAGTCATTCACTTTCTTCAATTTGTTTATCAAATCTTAAACTATTATATTATTATTCTAGATGGATGGGGATTTGCGAATGGGCTGAACTGCGGGCTCATCAGCTTGATGAGTTTTTTCAACTAATTTCTCAGTATAAGATGGTTTATAAAAATTTGATCATATGGCTTGGAGAACGTGAAGAGGTATAAAATTAGTTTATTACATATTGAATGAGTAATTTTGGTAAAGATACTATTTGTTTTTTTTTTTTTAAAGGCCTCTCAATTAATTTTTATGGATAGCATATCGGGGTTCTCGAGAAGCTCTTTGCTTATTTTGTTCAGCTTTTTAGGCTTTGCGGAAGTTGGTTCCCGTTGAAAACTTAATTTATGACGCTCAAGTTGTTGAACAGGTTGAAATTCTTCAACAGATGGAAGCAGCTTTGGAAGCTGGTCATGCCGATTTTGTTTCACTCTCTCAGCTTGCTGTTGATGCTCTTGCAAAGCTTGATTCGGCAAATAGTGCAGCTGCTGAAAAGTTGCGTCAAGAAGTGGATAGCATTACCGAACGCTGGGATAATATTGTTTCTCGCATTGATAAACATTCACAATCGGTATACAGTTTTTGTTTAGTTTAGCTATTTTTTCTTTTTTCCTTTATGAAATGACTTTTCATGTAACGGTTTTTTCTAAGTAAGGATTTTTAATTTTTCTGGCATTTATGCAATGATCAAATAACTATTGTTGATCAGTTGACTGGCCGCCAGTTTTGACCTCGTTACTGGCGTTATTAATTTTGCTTTTATCTTCTTATGGCAGCTTTATAACATACTAGTTAAAAAAGCATTTGCGAGTTTATCCTTCCACAGCTACCTACTTTGCATTGTTTTTATATATTTTTTAAAGCTTTTTTGAATGTTTCTAATTTGTTCTGTTGGGCAAATCTAGTGTTTTACCACCACTAATTAAGCCAGTATTTTATGTCAGGAACTATTTTCTTAGCCTCGCTAGCTGGTGTAAGCTTCAGTACACTTATGGCGTTCGTGATTAAGGGACTAAAGCATGCGATAGAGGAGATGCTTCAAACACTTTTGGGAACACAGTCTGTGATACACTTGTTGCAAGACCGCTTCAAAAGTGTTGTTTAGTTATTTCATGCATTTAGCTAAAATGAAACCTTCATGATTTTTGCGGAAATGCTAGAAGCTTCCGGGAGCCGTGAGACGGGACAGCGTAGAGAATTTTGTGAACTTTTTGATAGGAACAAGGATGTGGTAATTTAAGCTTGTTTGGAAGTCATGGCGGGTATTAAGCTGTTGTGGGCTCTATTTGATACCAGTTGCATATCGAGATGCGTTCTTCTATTGACTTACAGTTTGACTAATTAAATGCTTCGTTCTTTTCTTTCTTTTTTCATCCAGACTTTTGCAGCTTGTTGAATGTGGAAAAGCAGAGAGTCGTCAACTGCTTCATCATGATGCTTCTCCTATAAGTGAAACTGGCAGTGGAAGTCGTAGAGGATCTAAGGATTCAAAAAATGTTGCAAATAGTATCATGGGAAATAACAGTAGGAGTGTCGTAAGTTTTGTAAGAAGTATTATACTAGATGAATTAAGGAATATAAATATCTAGTAGAGTTTGGTATTGACGTTAACATTTTTATGGTTGTTATTAATATCACCATTCTTACTTTCATTGGAGTTTTTACTGATATTAATGCTAGAATTTTTGGACCTTCTGATGCACCTTCTTTATTGTTATTTTTATTGATATATTTGATTTTTTTTTCCGAGTGTAGATACTGAAGATCTGAGCGGGATGGCCTTTAAGTCTTTTTTAGCTTCCCAAGGCTTTAGTAAACGTTTTTTTCCTTCAAAACTTACATTTTTGTCTTTATAAATTTGTTCATAAAACTAAGAATGTAAGTGAGGTCAAGGAATTAATAAGACTCTCAAGTTTTGTTATTGTAATACACTTTAACACCACTTAATTTTTTGAACATTTCAAGTCTGAGTAGGTGTGTAATGTATTTAGTCGTGTGGCCATATTGATGTACCGGCATCAGCGGATAGCAATAGGAATGTTACTTGTACATCTTGTTCGAATCTTCCATGCACTTCTGTTATTTCGCCAGTGGATATCTTTATTGGCAATTTGGAAAAAGTGTCAGAAGATTTGCAGCCTTTGATTGAGTGGGCTCACAGTTTTCATGTCTCTGCAGAGAGCGATGATATACGTAATGTAATACAAATTTGTCAGGTAACTTTATATTTTGCTTTTGGTGTTGTTTTTATTATAATTTTCTGTGTAAAACTGTCGGACATTATTCTTTGTTTGCACTTCAAGTTGAAATATTTTGGAGTCTAATTTAGGGGAAACTGCGAGAAATAAAGCTCAAAGAGGGCCAGGTTAATAATTTGCACTCGGAGCTGGAAAGAATTCGAAATTTAGGAATAGGAGCTGAACAGCTTCAACGAGCAAATGATAGCTTCGAAGAATTCACACACAAATGGTCAGAGATTGTTACAAAAATCTCGGATTCTTTGAACTCGTTGTCACTTCGTGGAGACTCAAAAAGTGGTATAAAACTTTTTAACTACAACGCTCTTTGATAAGTTGGTTTCATGAATAATTTTTTAAGTGACAGACCTATGGAGTTTTGTTTCAGACAAAATTATTTGAGGTTTTCAGAAAGGTTTCAGATGATAGCGGTATAGTAATCGGGAGGTTTTGGTTTACATTTTTAATTGTTTTTGACTCAAACTTTCAGTTTTTCTTTAGAGGAAGGATTTGAAGCAGAAACTTTACGAATAGCTAATCAACTTGAGGAATTTTTTGATTCTACAGCAAATATCTTGCGCGGGTGTGCTCAGATCCCACTCTCTGAACGAGAAGTAAGGTTGAAGAAGCTTAGTGAACAGATTGATGCACAGCAAAAAAACATCGCTTTTCTGGAATCAAATTTTACTGACAAGACACGTGTATGTTTCTTATAAAACCTTTCTTTCTATATCCGTGTAGTTTCGGTGTAGTTGAAATTTTTTTTTTGGAATTCTGTAAACATAACAGCTTAGAAAGTCTATATAATAATTACATAGGATCTGATTTTTTCAGAATTTTTAAAAAAAAGGGGTGAAATATTTTTTTATTATTTGTATTATTATTATTATTATTATTATTATTATTATTATTATTCAAATGACTGCACAAATTGAAATTATTTGAAGCGGTGCTAGTGCCTAACCTTTCTTTTTGTTTAGACTTTTTAAAAGTGTGTACAAATAAATTTTATCATTTCCAGTGTTTACTTTAAGCCTTAAATTCTGATTTTTTTCACTGTTCCAGTTCCAGTTTTGATTTAGTAGATATGTCCAGTTCTTGCTATTTGATGTTATTGGCTTTGTTAAATCAGAGTTATTAACAATGGGAAGCTATGTATTCAGGTCTTCACTAATATTGTCTCTTTTTTTCATTATTTTCAAAATACCAGATAGTTTTAATCTTTGGGATTTCTTTAATTCGTTGTAAATTCAAATTCTTATTCGTTTACATTTTTTGGTAAGTTACAACCTATAATGGCAGGATGACGTGTTATGGCTTGATAACTCTTCTTAAAAGAAACGTTTTGGTGACACGTCATTTGCAGAAGCTGTTTAGTAATTACTCTCTGAGTAATGAATAGTTTCCAATCTTTTGTAAGGCAAAAGTTTTTTGTTTGCTGCGAAATAAATTTCTTGATCACTTACAAAAAATAAAATATATTACTAGCTGCTTTATCTGACGTATGTGATATTTTCGTTCCACTTTACATTTTTGCTTTCTCTTTGTCTTATATCATCATTTCTCTGCTGACCATTGTAATTGTTTGATCAGTCTCTTTGCTCTCTGTCTTCAGTATCTTAATTTTTCTGAAGTGGGGTGCAAGCATTTGTTTGTTTTAGTATGCTATTATGAATCTTTTTTTTAGTTTTTGTGTGTCTAATGATTTAAAATGTTTTGTTTTTTATTCTTTTTATCTTTGTTCTTCACTTTTTACTCATTTATTTTTGCTTTATACTTTGTTTGATTCAGGTTAATGCTCTGAAAAAGCGTATGGAGGGCATGAGTGCTGAAATAACAGAATTGATTGAGAGCAGCCAATTTCTTGAACGGTTTGAACGCTATCTTAAATCTTCGCTTCCATCTGTGAAAGATCCTGCAGTGTTGCGTGACGATTATCGTCAGTGTGAGGTCGTATTTTGTTTGGCGTTGTAAAAACTTTTAGTGTTTTAAAGTTTTACCATTGAGTAGCGACAGATTTAAGTTAATCAGACATCAAGGGAATTTGCTTGAAAGTAAATCGGATGGAGTTTTCTGAAGAAATGTCGTGCGAGTAGAAGAAATTATTTTTGATAAGTATAAAATCACATTTGACGTTTATTTAAGTGTTGTTAATAATTACTTCGTTCATTTTAAAAACAAAGATTAAAATCTCTTTGTCTCTGTGGGGCGTTAGAGAAAGCACTAGATTTCCATAGTGGAAGAGAGTTCGTTGATGTAATCAGAAGTTATCTTTATTTGAGAAATTTTATATGTGAAGGTTAAGGTTTATCTGGGCTTTGAATATCAAAAGTTTAAAACGGTGGCTAGCGAAGTACTGAAATTTATTCCAGAACTGCTGCCTGTGAAGTTTTTCTTTTTTGTTGAATTCTAGTCTTTTATTTCCCCAGAGACTGGTTGTTCCTGAAGTGTTTTAAAAAGTGGGTTCTTAGTCACATTTATGAAGAAAATTAGTAAGGCAGTCATAATCATCTCAAAAGGTGTTTTGCTTATCAGTCATTTGTCTTTAAAATGTCACAAAAGTAGGGTGTAGCGATGGCAATGGCTGTTTAAAAAAGTTTTTTCAAATTGAGTAATAGGTTTTGACTACAGTTCTCTTCTCTGTGCGACTTTTAGCTTCTGAATTGGACTCGTTACTTTAAAACCAAGCACTTCTGAATAATGTTTAGTATATTACTTGTTTTCTTGTTCTTCATTTTGAATTAAAAGTTTGAAATTTTTGTTTTTTTCTTTAGGAATATCTAGCAGACTTAGAAAAAATAAAGTCGGATAACTTAAAATGTGAGGAGTTAAAAAAGCTTGGACTAGCTAGGAAGGATACTGTCGAAAATGTCATGAAGAAATACGATTACTATGAAGAGAAAATTCGGGAAGCTGAAAGGACTCTTCGGGACTTCAAAAATCGTTTTTCTGCTTTGAAAGATGAGAAAGTGAAACTTCCTTTGCTGATAGAAGTGTATCAGGTACAGAAGAAGTCAACTTTTATCTTACTTTTCTCATAGGTAATCAGAAGAGCAATAATTTTTTGCTCCTGTTGCGTCGAATGTTGCTTCTAAATGTTAAGTTTGAAAATTTTTTATAGAAAACAAAAGGCCTCTTTTTTAAAATGCACTTCGTTGCGAAAAACAAATATTTTGACATTAAAATTTGTTTTTTGGTTATTATGAAGAATATTTTTTAATTGCATGTCGTGCTGGTTTTAAGCGCTTCTAACCAACCTGGCATTTGATTGAATTTAAGAAATTAGCAAATGAAGTTTCTGCCGCTCGCACTATTCTTAAAGAAGTTGAAGAGTCTGTCAGAGATTTGGCATCTGTAACATCCTACGAAAGCGTCGATATTCGTGAAGCTACAATTATTGCTTTTAAAACTCGAGTTCGAGATTGTGTTGAGTCTTGGCAGTCTTTGGAAGATGAAATACAGGAAAACATAAGCTTGATATCGAAAGAAATTAAAACTATGTTTCAAGGTTACAGCTTTTCTAGTTTCGCGGAGAATTTTTTCCTTGGAACGCTCTAGAAATTTGGTCAGAAGGAAATTGCCATTTGTTCGTAATTCAGGCTATGTTAGGACGTGTCGTGACACGGTACAAGATCTGCGACGGGCTATTGAAAGCAGTGTGAAAGCGTCTGATGCTGAAGAATTTAGCGAACATTTAGATGTAACTTTTTCTTACACTTTAATTTTCGATTCCTTCATCGGCTTATAATTCTTCTGTTGCCACAGTCTAAATGTTAGTTACAGATTTTAGAGAAGCTTTGTAATAAAATAACGGTGATTTTGGAAAATGCATACGACGAGTGCGTTACATCAGCAAATGCTTCCGAAGAGGTCTTGTTTTTAGTTAAATAAATTTGTAAGTGAATGATCGTTAAAATAATATTTAACGGTTAGTTATAGCTAAAATAGTAAATAAATTGAAGTATATATAT